TAGTGTTAAGCTTACGGGTGCTTAACAAACCGTTACAACCTAGGAATTCTAGTCACAAGAATCCTAAACCTGAGAGTTCAAGTCACATGAACCTCAACACTCTTGCTTGAAGATACCTCACTTCAAGACTTCTCACATAAGAAGATATACCCTCTTCCTATGAATCTCAACAAGGGAACTAACCTCCCTTAAGGTGTATGAATATACAATTCAATCACTCAAATAAGGAACTCTCTCAAAGAGCAGATATGAGTATACAAGTAAAGCTCTAAAAGGCAACTCTCAAATCCTCAAAAGGATATTGGCTCAATAAAAATTAATTTGAATGTATGAGATGAATGCTTGAATGTAGAGAGTTGATTAGTTGATAATCAGAGCTGAAAATACTCAATTTATAGCTCTAAAAAGTAATGAAGCCGTTTGAAATGCACCCAAGAAAACACCTTTAAACAAAGCATAGTGGGTGCTGAAAAGTTGTCTGCTCAATGGCCATAACATCGATGTTTAAAGTCTCAACATCGATGTTTTGTCCAGTAAATTTGAATTATTGGACTAACGGTAACTAAAACATCGATGTTCTCAAACCCAACATCGATGTTATTTTGATTCTGTGTAAAAACCTTTAAAGCTTCATTGAAGAACATCGATGTTATGAAATCCAACATCGATGTTATTTTGCTTCTGTGAAAAACGATTAAAGCTGACCATTGAAGAACATCGATGTTATGAAATCCAACATCGATGTTTTGCTTAAGTAAAGATATTTTCAAATGCAACGGTCATGAGAACATCGATGTTTGGGAATCCAACATCGATGTTATTTGCCTACTGCCAATTTTTGGAAAATTCTTTGAAGGCAGGAACATCGATGTTTAGAAGGAAACATCGATGTTATTTTGGCTCGGCAAAAACAAATTGAAACTGACCAATATGGAACATCGATGTTACAAATGGGAACATCGATGTTATGACTAATTTTAAAAGCAACGGTCACTAGAACATCGATGTTTAGGATGCCAACATCGATGTTCTGAGCCTTCTGCCTGTTTTGAAGAATTGTGCAAAGGCAGGAACATCGATGTTTAAATCCACAACATCGATGTTCATGGCTC